GCCTAAAGCATACTAGTTCTAAACTAGTCACTCTTTGATGCTTGTTTGTTAAGCGCAGTAGGTATATAAACACACAAGTGTATATACTACTACTGGTTTGTGTCTGTTTACGTACATGTCATCCAATAAATTATAGCCACTCATTGTTTTGCAAAATTTATGACTGCCTACATTAAAATAATTACAGTAATGTTAACACATTATGCACTTACTGTTTCAATAAATTTTCATTGAGAATATTAATCAAAGCTCAATTCGCAGTGTGGGTTTGTAGGAAAATTTTTTTAGAAAGAATCTTAATTTCCATAGAAAAGTCGGTCTGTAAGAGAGAATTGTTAACTATAGCATTCCAAAAAAAAAATCATAAATACTTTTGTATCTTCTTATTGTTATACTAATAATCTCAATTTTAATTATTTTAATACCAAGAGATTGGCGAAAGTTTATAAATAATTAGGAAAAATGCATGAATGAACTGCAAGGTTGTTTTATAAAGGTTTTTTATGTATAAAAATTTTTTTTAATAAACAAATACTTTTTGAAAAAGAGTAAATTACTCAAATATGTCTCCAAATGTATATTTTCGTAAAGAAAAATATACGAGTATAAAAATTTATTTCAACACTGTGGTCATTTAGGGCATAAACTATACTTTAAGAAATAACAATGATAAATGAACGATAGAATGCTTTTGATTCCTGGCCATGAAACGTGCAAGAAAACAGTGAAAATCATTTTTGAACTATTTCTATTAAGTGCCGCCCATCACTTTGCCTGTAATTATTTATAATGAATTTTCATATATATAATTTTAATAGTTATTTGATAGCATTAAGCACAAAGCATAGACTTTACCTCAATCGACATTGTTTACTCTGTACACTAATTTAAACTTTTTTTCATATTCATGGTTTCATCGCTTTGTTCTTTGACACTCTTTAATAATTGCTTGTCACGTTAGGTTGCATGTTGCAGTAGCAAAGTGACGTTTTGTTGCACTTGTTTCGTTGCAGCTGTTGTTTGTACATGCAACAACTGTTTATTCGTTACTATAGTTAATTTATCAGAATAACAAACTGCTATTATACTTGTACAAACAGTTGTTGTGCAGTTTTAAATTACAAGCGTTGTCGTGTCGTTGTAATTTGAGAAAAGTTGAATGGTGTTTGTTTAGCCTGCAGCTGTTTTCAAATTTATTTACTTTGTGAAATTTAACAATTTTTTTTAGCTTAGTTAATTTATTTAATTTTTTTATGGTTGTTTAATTTTATTGATATTATTTTATGAATTTATTTTAATTTATATTTCTTATTATTAAATATTTTTTTTCTATTATATTTTGCTTTTTTTTTACTTGATTTTATTGGATTTATTTTGTTGAATTTTACTTTATTTTATTTGACTGAATTCATTAATATTATTAATTTCTTTTTATTTACTTGTAATAAATCTAATTTTTTTATGTTTTTATTTAATTTAATTTAATTTTATTTTATTTTATTTTATTTTATTTTATTTTATTTTATTTTATTTTATTTTATTTTATTTTATTTTATTTTATTTTATTTTATTTTAAATTATTTTATATTATTTTATTTTATTTCATTTTTTTATTACATTTCAATATGAACATGCTTTCATTTATAAATATTTCCTTTCTGCCTACTGTGTAATAGCTATTTTGCTTTATTTATTTATTCATCGAAATTCAAAATTATTTATTTCTGAGTACATATTCATATGTATATCAGCCAAGTGCTGGCTCATGGCAAGTTGGGTAAAAAAATATGTAAAACAACAATGCAGATATCATTTTGTCTTCCGGCGGTTATTTGTAACAACAGCTCCGCTCAACTGTATGAATTATATTTTACCACAATTAACTAAATAAATATACAAAAATCTTGCCAGTATTTGCCGCTGATGGAAAAATATTTTTAAATTGATCTTTTTTTCTTCACAAATAAGTTCTTTCATATTTTGTTTTTCCCCCACAACCAATTTGGTCATTATCAGTGTGTCATGAATCATTTATTTACTTGCAATTCCAATTTCAATTCATATTTTTCCATTATTAATATTTTATTTATTTATGTTTTATTTGTTTATTTATTGATATATATTTAATGACTGTCAGAACACAACAGCCGTTGAACCCTTTTTGGCCTACAATGTTTGCCATTCAAATCCTTTAAATATCTTATTTTTATTCTTTATTGTTTGTTTTTGTTTAGCAGCATTTTTTATTGTTGTTTGGTGATTGTGTTTTATATTTGAATAATTTGCGTCATTATTTGCCTCTAAGAGCCCAATTTCTTTGCGTCACTTGATAACGTTTCTGCGTCGATTGTGGGCTCCATTAAGTATTCTTTTATATTTACATATAAATTTTTATATATATTTTTTTGTTTGCAATTGTAAAGTTATCAGCCTATAAATAATTTTAATTTCATCAAGATATCTGGCGAACGCAGTTTATTTGGCCTAAAAATTAGGGTGATTATAATAATTTATGAGTAAAATTTGCTTAAAGAATAAGTTAAAATTTTTTTAAGGGACTGAATAATTTTGATGATGAATGACTTTATTTATTTGATATATATGAGTGGTTGAATGAACTTTCTTTGAGAAAAGGTTATACAGACAGACTATCAAATAGTAAAATGTCAACACTGGTGCCCCAGCTGGATAGCTTTACTTCTAACCTAAAGGACTTGCAATGGCCACTTCACTTTTAGAAAGACATACATACAAATGGAACAAGTTTTTGAGTTGATAACATTGCAGTCAGTTACCACTGACTTAGTGTAAAAACTTGATAAAAACCTCTACGCGATTAAGGCTACAAACTCATTATTTTATTTATCCTTTTCTAATTCTAATAATATTTCTTTTTCAATAATATTTTCGACCCAAAGTTTCTTTAAGCCACTTAAGTCATTATAATATTGCCCTCAGCCAAAACTCTTGATGTGAGAGGGACATTTGTTAATGGAAGAGATTTAAATGGGCATTTCCTTTAGTAAACAACGGAAAAGGCTCAGCAATAACAAATCCTAAATGTAGGCAATTAAAACATATCACAACAAAAATAACTTTCTTTATATTGTTGTATGATAAAAAAGCAATTAATTCATACAAAAATTTAATGAATTGCCCAAAATAAAAATACTTGAAATTATTTGCAAAGCATTTGGAAGATAAAAGCCAAGATGTTTGTTTTTTTTTTTTGCTTTGGTCTTGTTAAAAAGGAAATTGAATTAGAAGTTTAAATTTTTTCTTTAGCAAAGTTTTCACATAAAAGACAGCGCGGTATTTCGACGTACGTCAATCACAATTTGACGTGGCTACATTGGAGGCGTGGCTAGCAATGCGTGCAAAGCGCGAATCCTGGCCAGAACAATGTGATGGAGAAGGAATTTGATAAAGTTAATGTTTCAAGCACAGTTTTGGCAACAGCGAATACCGCAGACGATGTAGTGAAGAGTTGGTCGAGACATACATACGATGATATTGACTTATATCATTGGACTAATGGATTAAGCGCTTTGAAAGTATTCGATGCAGTACCTGCTAGTGGAAGCAGCGGAGGAGAAAGATCTCCATTCATTAGAAAGATCAGGTGAGCGGCTGTCTGGTGTTTTCTGGTATTTTTTGCTAGAGCGAAGATGAGGAAGAAATGGGGCGCAATAATCGCATCAGCGGGGCCTACTCCAATAAAGAAAAAATGAAAAGTTATAAAGCGACAAATATATATATTGGAATTTCAATGAAATTCTATTTAAAAACAAATTATAGATAGACACTCAAAAATAAATAATCCGTTCACCTGTAAAAAATATTCAATTTAAAAAAATATATGGTCATATTATATATTTATATTTCAAACCACACACAAAGTTCAAAGTTCAATATTTGGTAATAAAAAGAGTTAAAATGTTTTTTTCCGCTGCAAATTTCACTGTCATAAAGCAATCTAAACGTCATATTAGAATCTCTCAAAGGACAACATACAATAAAAAAATTAACTATTAACGCTCAATTTCCTGAGCTGATTGGGGATTTGTCTCATTTTGTTTCTTTTTTTTGTACTCATTTTTGTTTTTCCTTTCTTTTTCTGCTGCTATGGTTGGCGACTTGAGCTTATTGCCTTTTGAGTACATTCAGTGGTAAACTGTTGACCCTCCGTTGTCAAAGTTCGTGTCCCAAAAGCTCAACTATTTAAATGTTTGTTTTAATATCCGAAGTACCATAATAGAAATGCATATATGTATGTCTACCTAGAAGAGTTAGGAGTAGAGAGAATGCGGGGGATGTTATTTGTTTACGAGGTTGACGTTCAAGGGGAGTTTTTGTGTGGGAAATAGCAAAACAAAAAGATTAAAGATATGACCTAATAAGGCAATAGCGAGGGAGCAAAATTTTAAACAGAAGTAGAACTGCTGGTGGGGAAAAGTAAATATTTAATATATAAACCTCTCCTGTCACAGTTGACTTGACCGGCTTGAACGATTTTGATGAAATTTCGTGTGCATATTCAATAGGTCTGAGAATAAAAAACAAGCTAAGTGATAAGTTTGGTCCATTCCTAAATAATTTTTTTATTTTTGGGAGAATTTTTTTTCCATATGAGTGAGCCTAAATTTTCACCTTATTACCACCAACCCTTATTTAATGTTTTTAACAAAAAAAAAATTAACAAATTTTCTCAGTTTTTTTTTTTTTTATTTTTTTATGTCAAGCATAGATCGTGCGTAAGTATGTATATATGCGGCTACGGGTTGCAAGCTATCCTTGGACGTTCAGGCATAGATCTGATTGCCATTTACGTGACGATCTTTGAGTACCGAGGAAAATAATAAAATAAAACCTCTTATTTGGTTTTACCTAATGCTTGATAAAGATGTTTTGTCCTACTTTCCAACATCAATGAGAATTAAAAATTCTACAAAATGCAGAAAGCCGCAATAGCATGTGGCCAGGTTTCGTTTGAGAATCACCTGACTTTATTTTCCCTATCTTTTTACTAGCAGCAAAAGTTTCTGAGCTTAAAAAATAGATTTTTGTTGTCTCATTATTGTTTACTAGAGCTTGATGAAACTTCTTCTGTATGTAGTTTTAGGATAGTCCTACAATACTAAGGTTTTTGTCAGGATATTGCGTTTCATACTTTTTATATTGCAGAAGAGTTACGCATGTATTCTTCTAGGCAAAGAGGTTTATACGCACCAAATACCAAGCAACTCCAACGATCCAAACAGATCGATACCGAGCTCACTTCCAGAAAGTTCCCTACATATGAACTTTGACCGGTACCCACCTACACATGTTCGAGATATTAAGCACAATCAAGCCCTTGATTCGATCTCAGAACCACTTTCCAATAAAAAAAAGTCTTTCCGATGAAAAAAAAACAAAAGCTACCTCTGTACGCAGCTTAATATAATTCCAATAATAAATACGATTTTTCAAATAGATGAACCGCAGACCCCACATACCGGAAGAGGAAGTGTTATCCTTATAACATAGGCTCAAAGCTACCTATGGAACCAAATTTCATGTCAATGAAATTTTAATAAAATAAATTCGATTTTCGAATAGATCGGCTTCAGGTCCACTTTCTTGTATTCTTATCGGATGCCCTTTATAAACGTGAAAGCCCCACTACAAGCTTGAGGTTTCTGTGATCATATACATATGTACATATGTATATAGAAAGCGTGAATATTGTCCTAAATTCTGGAGTTCATCTAATTAAATTTAAGCTGCATTTAAAGCTCCATATAGCTTTGGGAAAGCGTACGCTCAAACTTTCAGAGGCGGTTGCCAAAAGTTGTCGAGAACTTCTCAACCGAGCTTGATGAAATTTTTGTCAGGCTTTCGAGTTACAATTCACGAGGAATTGAATTAATTTTTTTTTTCTAATTACAACTATTTAAAAACATTTTGTGCAATTTACAGAAAAATTAGAATTTTTTGTAAGAAAAACAATTCACTTTTCCACTTCGTAGAAGTTCTAGTTTACGGTATTAACTAAAACATGATTTGTGTTTTTTTTTTTTCACTTCGAATAATCCTGTACTGTAAAACTCATATACTATTAACGGAGTCTATGGAGTCACCGGTAATAACGTCCTCTTCCTTGCTTATAGTTCGTACGATCACCAGGCCATCAAGAGGCACCCAGTGGTGTTGTTATTGTTATTGCAACTGCAAAAATATTCCCAATAGTAGTATTTGAGGAATGTTGCGGGGGTGACAGTCCTTGGCCGGAAAAAAATCCGGGTCGTTCCGGTATAAAGACCCGACTGCCGCGGGAACTATTGGATTTTAGTCGCTTCTTACGACAAGCATGCCTTACCGCGGATAATCTCTCGAACCCCTAACTCGCAGGGGGCGCACATAGCGGTCAAAGTGATCGTTGGAGAAATCTCCTGACCACCGCAGAAGCATCATCGGATGGGCACGGCTCGCGTTATACCCCGGATTAGGAAGGTGGCAGTTCTTGATCACTGCTCTCCGGCGGCCCTAACTACATACTGAGTAGTGCAGTGCTTGAGTAAAGACAATGTTAATCCTTACCCAGGTGATTGGTGAATCAGCTAAGCGCTGAACTTGCGATAGCTACGTCTAATCCTCAAAGCAGTTCTGCATGTCCTTAAACTTTTTCATCGAAATGAGCTTTCTCCTCAAAACGCCGACCTTCAAGAACTGCTTCAAATAGACCCACTGTGCATTAGCCTGGTAAACAGTGTTGGTAAAATTTTCATTTTACGTCAAACATTTAGTACTTTTTTCAGTAAACGAACAAAGAAAGATAAACTTAAGCCCCATCCACATTTCTCGAAATCTGGTTCACAATGTTTATTGAGCAATAAAAATCAATGAAGCTACCTTTTAAAACAAACAAATGCCATATATCTATGTATATCTCTATGCAAATGCACCTACAAATCACAGTCTGATGTACAACAACTTCAAACTAATTTATCTGATATTCTATTTTATGATGGTTTTATGTGAAAGCATATGTAGATTTGCTTTTGTTGGTGAATAATTTATGATCCCTGTGGGAGCATTAAAAACTTTGAAAGGAAGCCAAATGCAAACGAAACTAGTATCTGCTATAACAAAAACAACAATGCATATCAGTGCACATGTACGAGTATGTAAGTGCATAAGTAAATAAAATATTGTGCAAAAAATCCAATTTACGATATAACATAATTGGACGTGAAAGTTACTATAAAAGCAGAAAAAATACATTTATTTTATTCACTGTTATATACAAAAGGTAATCATAATTTTAATTAAATTTGAGAAATTCTGCATTGAATGTAGTTTATAGTATAAATATAAGTAAAGATGTAAACATTTTTTTAAATATTTTTTCTCTTAATATAAGTAATTCGATTAGCTTCTTTGTCGATAGTCGAGCCATTAAATTAATATCAATCAAACAACGACATCCTTCAATTTCGCTGATGACTGTAAAATATTAATTTCTTTTATTTATTATTTTTCAGTTATTTTTAAACTATTGTGTATAAGTATAATTTCTATAAAACAAACCAATATGCTTTAAATTTAATATAAAAGTATGTTCTCAACACTTTACAAATTAAAAATGAGTGTCATTAAATAGCAGAGATTAATAATTACTATATATTTAAAATTTATATTATTTAATCTTCTTATTTAATTTTTTTCTTTTTATTTTATTAATTTTTCTTGTTCAATTTTATTTTATAATATTTCTCACAGGTTATTTTTTATCTTAATTAATTATATATTGTTTTCTTAATTATTATATTATTTTGTTCTTTTTTTTATATGTTATTTCAATTTAAGTTATTTTATTTTCTTCTATTTTTTAGGTTAATTTAAGTTCACTTAATTTTTTTTATTTTACTTCATTTTATTCTAGTTTGTTTTATATTATTTTAATTTATTTTTTCAATTTTTTTTTATTTTTTCATTTAATTTTATTTTGTTTTGTTTTATTTTATTGTATATAATTTTATTATATTTTTTTAATTATTTTGATTTATTTTTATTGTGTTATATTATTTTAATTTTTTTTTGTAACTTATATTTTATTTGTTTTTTATAATACGCTATTTTATTTTCTTTAATTTTGTTGTATTTTATTTTGTTAAAATATTTTTTTATTTTCATTTCATTTAGTTTATATTATTTTGTTTTGTTTTATTAAACTTTATTTTATTTTGTTTTCCTTATTTTCAATTTTATTTTAATTTACTTTAATTCAATTTTATATTATTTATTTGGTTTTTTATAATTTAAATTTGTTTATTTTTAATTATATTTATTATTTTATTTTAAAATTCATTTATATTTATTTTATATAATCTTAAATTTTTTTATTTTATTTTATTTTATCTTGTTTTAATTTATTACGCTTTATTTTTTTTTTATTATTTTATTTCATTCAATTTGATTTTATTTTTTCAATTAATTTTCTTATTAAATATTATTTTATTTTTATTTATTTTTTTTTATATTTAATTTTATCTCATTTTACTTTACTTCATTTTATTTTATTTCATTTTATTATTTTTGTATTTTATTAAATAATTTCGTTTTTTTTTTTATTTAATATCGTTTTATTTGATTTTTTAATTATTTTGTTTTATTTTTTTTATGTTATATATTTTATTTTTCTTATTTTTTTATTTCATTTTAATATGTTTTATTTTATTCTATTTGTTTCACGTCATTTTATTTTAATCTACTTTATTTTATTATTTGCTTTATTTAATTTATTTTTATGTCTGATATTTGATTGTTAGAGAACTGAAATATCAGAGTTTACTTTTACAAAGCATATCATTCCCAGAGCGAGATTACCTCTGCCAATGTTTGATTCTCAAATTAGTGCATATGTCCTGCGTGCATGTTGTATGTCAAGCTTTCAAAGTAAATCCTTGATACTATTGGTTAATGGCAGCAATGGTGTGTTAATGCCAACATGAGAATATGTGCGCTTTAATCAAACATAGCATCATAGCAAAGCATGTTACAATAGACGTATACAAATTTGTATTTGCACGAGTGCGTAACCGCTTGTCACGCAATGCGAGCAGCACGAGAACCAATGTATATATGTTTGCTTAAATCGTAGCTGTTTGTAATACAGGAACGCATGACAAGAATTATGTCCAAAGGAAGCAGCTTAGTTGTGTTCGACTAAAGACAAGGTTGAGTGTAAGTGACATCATGGCGGCTTCAAAACCTTTGTTTCTGAACAATTCGTTAGGAATTGGTCTTATAAAGTTGAAACTGAGAAAGTTGTGTGTCATGCCAAATTATTTTTATATAGTTAAATAGTTGGAAAATCACCGAGAACTATAAAAAATATTATGGCTCCTCTGCCAGCCCTTAATTTGGAGGATCTACTTTAAAATATATACAATCCATACATATGTATATAATGAATAATGTGAAACCATATAATTTAGCGCAGCTACATCTATTTTATTTTTATAATTTTTTTTTTATTTTACTTTATTTTATTTTATTTTATTTTATTTTATTTTATTTTATTTTATTTTATTTTATTTTATTTTATATTATGTTATTTTATTTTATTTTGTTTTATTCTTTAAATATATAAACGTTCAGTTGGCAATCTCTTATTTTTTTAGTAAATATCAATTCCATATATTTTTTTCCTTTTACTTTATATTCTTTTTTGACAAATACTTACCGTGTTAAATTAAACTCACCTCGCTGAAATTCATTAGCCTAAGTAACAAACAAAGTAAGCAGCGTAAAAAAATAATAATAAAAAGTGTGCGAAAAACTTTTAACGGTAACTGCTTGGCAGAGCATAAAGTGCCAAGAGCCTAGATAATGCGTGAAGAAAGTGAAAATGCAAAAACTGAGCGTAAGAACCTTGAACTAAAAGCCTAATAAAAGAGTGCGGTTAAAAAGAAAATGAGAATTGTATGATACAAAAACAAGATAATGCCGGGATTTCA